TCTCTCTCTCTCTCTCTCTCTCTCTCTCTCTCTCTCTCTCTCTCTCTCTCTCTCTCTCTCTCTCTCTCTCTCTCTCTCTCTCTCTCTCTCTCTCTCTCTCTTTCTTTCTCGGTCTATATATCTCCCTATTCTCGCTCACTGTACGTCAACTACCTCTATCAACCGCTCCCTTAATTCACCAACCGGTGAAGAATGTTTCGCATCGCGTTACTCGTGACATTCCTGCGGGTAGATTCTCTCTATCACGCGTTCTGTTCGCATATATAAGCCGCGATCAACTCTAGAAATAGGCAAATGTTATCGGTGGAGTGCAAACAGGTATATGTGATAGCGACGTCGTCCGAAAGCATGACCTTACGTTTGGACCGTAGCGCGTGAGTGTGCACAGGTATGGCCAGTGCAAGCCGAGCTGTTTCTCTTACACAGCACACACATCACATCGTATAAGAATGTAGTTTAATAAACAAGTTTATATTCCATTTGCGCGGAAAGCTGCTTCGGGCAACGGTTTCATGTGATATCGCGAAAAAAAATTTCGCGATGAGAGCAAGTCATTTAACCTGCACTGCCGGTGAAGTGTGCGTGCGTGCGTGCGTGCGTGCGTGCGTGCGTGCGGGTGTACTGGTGAGTACGTGTGACGCTATCCGACTTGGAATGCGAGGCTAAAGTCAAATGTTTGAGCTGGGCGGGTAATCGGCTCTCTCAAGGCGTTCCCGTCCGATGAGAGAGATATGTGCTGCCAATGTGGTCATCGGGCACCTGCGTGCGTGCGTGCGTGCGTGCGTGCGTGCGTGCGTGCGTGTGCCAGCTACCCTCGTTTATCCACCAGGTAACCGGTCCCCCGTTTCCGCTCACACGCCAGTAGCAGGAGAAATCCCCCAATAGATGATTGAATAATTTCATCGAATCTCTATAGTTCACAATGCTAATAAAGATTGTCTTAGTTAGATCCAAATTAAGTTAAAGTTGTTTGTGTCAGTGTTAGTTATTTTTAACTTAATTTGTATCTAACTGAGATCATCTGTATTAGCAGGAGTTTTACTCCGCTTCGTTACGCAAGCCGCGGACACTTCCGCCGCAAAATCAGACACCCGAAAAACACATCACGCAGATAAATGCCACTCTCGCTTTACCAACTCTTGCCCATCTTAAAACAGCAAAGGCCCGCGAATGAAAAATACGAAGAGAAAGACGCGACCGAGAAAGAAAGAGAGAGAGAAAGAGAGAGAGAGAGAGAGAGAGAGAGAGAGCTAGACAGAAAGAGAGAGAACAACGAAAGTAAAACACGAAGAGGAGAAAACCACGGCGCGCTCATGATAATTGAATTTTCGCCGAGTGGTCGCGGGAGCTGCGTTTGCCGCCTGCCATGCATACTTTGCTGTCATGTCCGTCCACCACGCATACATGATGAGTCAAATATTCAGTGTTTCTTGTTCGAGACGTCACCTGGGAGACTCTACGCTCTCCGTCCTCCCCCTTACTCGCAATAATTCGATCTCACTGTTCTTCAGTAGACTAGCCACCGATAATATCATTTAAATAAGACGCGAGCCGCTCTGTCTGTGGTCGTGGCGGATACATCGTATATACAAATCTTTCTCTGTACGCGTTTATTATTCTGCTATGCTCAATATCGAGCAACATGCATTCAGTCGTTTGTCGCGTATCTTAAACACGTTTTGCCGTACAGAGTCCTGCGCCAGTAAAAGAAAATCCGATGTTATAACGTCACTGGATTCTGACGGATCTTCGAGAAGCTCACCTATAGGTGTTCTGGTGATTTTTACAGGTGGAAAGTAGTCCGTTGAGCGATCCCGCAAGTTGGACGCACGTGAATCAGGAGAGAGCCCACGACCAACCATACATGTTCCAGCGCAAGTACAGGCTTTTTAACGAACGGTCAAAACATTTTGTCGAGATGATGCACAAGCGGATACGGGCAACAGGCAAACCGACCAGTAAATATGGTACGTATAATATACTTATTACTTCTACATATCTAGCAGTTACAGCTCTCATATTCTTCATCAGGTTATCAACATCATCATCATCATCATCATCATCATCATCATCATCATCATCATCACTACCTGTCCCTACCTGTCTGATCAAGTTTCTCTGAGGGCTGTATATGTATTGTGTGACGTCAGCATTTAAGCTCGCCAACTGCCCCACGCGTACCAGTTCTCCGTTACAAACTTTCCTTCTCATCTCCCTCCAATCTCGTCCGCCCGCTACCGGTCACCGGATGAGTACGTGCGGCCCACCTCCACAAATATTTGTGATGTCGGCCATGTCGTGGCGAGCACGCGCGGATGCTCTAATGTATGCTGCTGCACCGCGGGGGCGTGGCCGTCCGTCTGTCCGCGATTACTAAATCATTACGAATGTTTTCCCAGCTGCCATCGGCTCCCCTCACCCATTATTTACTCTTCTCGAGGGCATTTGTCTCCGCTTCTCTAAACGCCTTTTGTTTCTCGCTATACTGCATTTGCCGGTGCGCGCGCATTGGCTGTTTATAACCGACGTCACAGCGACCTAGGGGATCGCGCACGTGTAGGGTCGGCGGGCGCGACGAAGCGTCCGAAACTGACCGAGTATTGAATTTGACCCCACACGTCGGGGTGGGTCCCCGCCTTGGTTTATCCATCGGTCCTTCCATCCATCCATCCACCCATCCATCCATCCATCCATCCATCCATCCATCCATCCATCCATCCATCCATCCATCCATCCATCCATC